GGACCGTAGTCTCCGCCGGCCCCAGCCGGGCTGTGCAGTACACGCGGTTGGGTCACGGATGTGGGGAGCAGTTGGAGTTGTGGGGACTCAATAAGCACAGCAGCAACAGGGCGGGGTTCCTGAAGATCGGGAGCGGCGGGAAGGGAGGAAATGCGGGTTGCAGCGCTAACCCAAAGACCTAGCAGCGCTGAGAGCTGCAACTCAGATGCTGTGTGCCGGGCCTTGTCATCAGCTTTTCCATCGGGTCATTCATTGCACTTTCGTTGTAGGAGGAAGGTACCATTATGATATCGTCTTGCGGACCGGGAAACTGAGGCACAGGCAGAATGGGTGTATTACCAAGGTTATGTAAACTGGCAGTGGAGAACAAGGGTTCACACCCAGACACTCTGCTGCATTCATCTGTGTGCTCCTTCACTGACAACTGAGTTTCTTTTTCCTGGTAGTGAAGGTGGAGCCCAGGCCTCCTGCCCATTGTGTGCGCTGCCCCTCTAAGCCTAAACGGATGACCCGACTTAAACAGTTTAGGAAAGGCACCATCCAGGTGGGAGAGGTGTGTGCAGTTATTCTAGCAGCGATCTGAATCTTACGTGGTCTGCTGGCAGTTTGCCTTTAGCCAAAGGGGTTCCCTGACAAGTGTGCTTTCCACACAGTTACAAGGAAAGAATAATAAAAATTCTTCTGTTCCATTCCTCTTCATATTCTTTGTCTTTGTTTATGTAGGTTAAGTACTAATTTGAAATTGCTGTTATGTGGCTTACACAAACATCACAACATCTTTTTGTGTGAAAAATTAGGAGTCTGTAGCAATCTGCAAGTTATCTTGGTTTATCTTGAAAATGTGCCTTGAATGTTTATTTCAGTTATATTCACTGTAAACCCATGATCCATGCCACCCCCTTCTCTCACCTGGGTTACTGCAGTCACCTCTTGACTGGTCTCCTTTTGTCTTCTTTTTTAAGAAGCCAGATGATTTCAGTTGTTTTTGTTTTTTGAGACAGGGTCTCCCTATGCAGTTCACCCTGACTTCCAACTGTGTAGCTCAGGCTGGGCCTGATGTGTGGTGATCCTCCTGCCTCAGCCTCCAGAGTGTTGGGATTATAGGCATCTACCACCATGCTCCAGAATGATCTTAAAAACAAACATCAGATCATGATCCTCCCTTCTAGTGGTACATGCTCAAAATACACTTCCTGGCCCCTGCTCACCTCTCTAACCTAATGTTATTCTATTTCTCCTCTAATGCAGTGTTTTAAACTTTTTCAAGAACTTTTTTCAGTTCTTGTAAGACTAGATACATTCACCAGGTTTATTCCCATTAGAGACTTCAAATTAGCTGTTCCTTGGCCAAGGAAGGTCTGCAGCACTTGCAGGGCTGGATTTGTTAGAATGTCACCTCCCCAGAAGGCTTTCTGACCAGTGATAGTCATTATTGTTTAGTCACTCTTGACTTCAGGTTCACTGCTGTAGTCCATATACTACTTCTTTTTGGTATTTATCTTGTTTGTTGGTCTCTTTTTAATGTAGGATTAAAAAAGCAGGGATCTTACTTATTTTCCTGTTATGTCTGCAGTTCATAGGAAAGAAGATTGGCATACAGCATGCACTCAATAAATACTTGTAGAATTAATACAAATAATAGCTAAAAGGTCTATGACATCGTAGAACTTGGTCACACAGAAGTGAGGTGGTTTGGAACATACAGAACTGGACCTTCCCTGAAGTTGAGATCTTATTAGTAATATAGGAATGTGATCCACCTATTTAACTTTAAAGTTTCTAAGAACCACATTAAAAATATAAGTAGAATTTTAATAATGTATGTTATTTAAGCCATTATATCTAAAATATCACTGTCAACATATAATCAATATGCAGATTATTAATGAAGTTTTTTACATTCCTCCTTTTATATTATCTTTGAAAGCTGGTGTATTTATGCTTAATTTTAATTCAGATACTGAATTTTCATTAAATAATAGATTTATATTGAGGTTGAATAAAATTTAAAGTGGAAAAAATAGGTTTACATACTCCAAATTATTCCAAACATTTTTTTTTTTTTTTTTTTTTTTTTTTGAGACAAGGTTTCTACATAGTTCAAGCTGGCCTTGAATTCCCTTTGTAGCCCAGGTTGGCCTGGAACTCATGATTCTCCAGCCTCAGCCTCCTGAGTGCTGAGATTACAGGCATACACCATGCCAAGGTCAAACATTCTTGAAGGCTTTACAGTGAAGTATGTGAACATACAGTGAAGTATGTTTTTCAATGTAATTGTTACATTAAAAATTTAGTTTCTCAGTCGAGCAGACACATTACACATGCTCAGCAGCCACTTGTATCTAGTGGCTACTGCACCGGACCACACAGATGTAGATTAGGACTAATGTGTTTGTATTCATGGTTAGGTAAAGGGGCAGAGAAGAGAGTGGCACCAGAATGGTGGAGGGAAGGTAAAGGTCTAGAAAAAAGCAGGGTTAGCTTTATATGCAAGTCATATTTAAGGACAGATTCCTCTAGTTTCTACTAGTAAAGTAAAGCTTTCCAAAGTAGACTATTTTTGTAGCGTTATTGTTGCATAGGTCCTCTGGGAATCGTTTGCTGGGGTATGAAAAGGGTCATATGTAGTATTTTTAAATATAATCTATGTGATGTGGAACAGTCATGGAAAGCAGATTACTTTCCTATAGAACATTGTGGGGTTTTTCCTTGCAGTACCAGGGATCAAACCCAGGCCTGCGCAGGCCAGGCAAGCGCTCTACCACTGAGCTCTACTCCCAGTCACTGCAATGGTGGTTCTTAACTGGTGGTGATTTTGTTGATCAGATGACATTTGTCTCTCCCCCAAATTATCTTCTTCCCACCAAACAGTCTGGGGACATTCTCGGTTGTCAGAAGTAGAGAGTACTATAGTATTAGTAGATAGAGGGCAGGGGTACTGTTGAATAACCTACAGTGCCAAGGACAGATTCCCAACAAACTGATCCAAAATATAATGGAACTGAGGACCGGGGGTTTAGCTCAGTGGTTCTGCTGCCTGCCTCACAAGCGCAAGGACACAAGTTTGATCCCCGTACCAAAAAAAAAAAAAAAAAAAAATGGAACTGGTATTGCGAAACCTTGCCATGATTAGAATAAGAATGAGATAGCTACTCTTCTAAAACCTCAACCCAACTCCCTTGTAATATACTAAGGGGAGAATAGGTTGAAGTACTTGTTTCCACTGTTGACAGCCTTGTGATTGGACTCTAATGAAACAATTCCATACTTAGGGTGAACATGTAGACCACTTAATGTAAATAACATGTGTTATGTCCTGAAGGTTCAAAGTACCCAGACACCAGGAGCTAATGCGTTTATCTTCATGACTTTTGTCTGTGACCCACTGTCTCAGATATGATCAATGCTATTACTTATTTCTTGTTTTCTCTTATCTCTATCCCTTATCTTTTCCTTTCCCTATGCCCTTGCTTTTAAAAATTGTCCTTCTGTCCCACCCCATCATATTTTCCCTCTATTCATCAAGAGAGGCCTCCCACAGTCCCAACACCCACTATTTCATCTCTATTGTCTCCTGTTTGTCCCCCAAAGGTTCATGTGCTGCTCAGTGGCAGTGGAACCTTTAAGAGGTAATTAGGGATGATTAATGCCATCTCTTGGGAAGAGCCATCTCTTGGCCTTTTCTGTGCCAGTTTCCTTACAAGGATACAGATGTTGGACCCTGCAGCCTACTCTGCAACACAAAATATCGCCCTCACTCAGTATCACAGCTTTCCTCCAACCCCATCCAAGAATTGCCCCCAACCTTGTCCTCTATAGCTGCTTCTTTGTGTTTTATCTCCTGGTGCAGTTGCAGCCTCCACAAGGGTCTCTTTAGCTACCTTCTTGAACTTAGAATCACACAGCATCAAGGGTGGAAGATATCTTAGCAGTGACTGATTTAGATAGCAGTATCCTCTAGAACTTCCTAAAATGATAAAAGTAGTCTCTGCCTGTGCTGTACAATATAGTAGTGACAAAGTTGAGTATTCCTTTCTCAAAATGCTTGGGACCATTAAGTTTTGGACTTTGGAATATTTGCATATAGGTGATATCTTGGGAATGGGATTCAAATCTAAACTCAAAATTCATTTGTTTTATATACATTTTTATATATTGGCTGAAGATAACTTTATACGGTATTTTACATAACAGCATGAAATAAAGTTTGTGTTATAGCCGAAGGGTCTGGGAAGGTTTTTTCCCTTGGAGATGCTGAATCTACTTGGTGTTGTTTACCTGTGTTTTGACTTCTACCTGTTGTATGAGGTCAGGTGTGGAATTTTCTACTTGCAACACACTGGTGCTTGAAGTTTCAGATTTTGGATTTGGGATGCTCAACCCAAATTACCTGTTGCTTCTGAGCATCTGAAATGTAGCTAATGCTACTGAGAAACTGAATTTTCTATTCTGTTTCATTTAACTTCATCTGACCACTGGCTACCATATTGGATACCACAGTTGTAGACTAACCTGACCCTGTCTCCCTCAGTGTACAATGACCTGAGGTCCAGAAGAGATTTATCCAAAATCACAGATCCCTAACACAGATACCCACCTTCCTAGTGGTTTGTACTGATCCCTTCTGCTTTTCCTTCCAATTTGATGTTTCTTTCAGCTGCCTGTCTTTTTATCATTGAAGAACAAAAAGTGTCCCACAAATAGATCAGATACCTTATTTTAAGGTAACATACTGGTAATGATGGAAAACAAATAATTAGTATTGGTTTAGTTCTTAATTTAAAAATAATTTTGTCTAATTTATCAAAACAGCATGGGCTGGGGATTTGGCTCAGTGGATCTGCTGCCTGCCTTACAAATGCAAGGGCCCGAGATAGATCCCCGGTACCATTAAAAAAAAAAAAAA